CAATCCTTCGATGACCGTGGCGGTGTACCTTATATTAGGTCGCCTAGAAGCCAGTTGATGGCACCACCATGCTTACGGTAAAGGAAAAAAAGCGCAACCCTTCTACCAACGCGGCATTTGTGCAAACTAAAAAGAGGCATTCGTTGGAAGCAGAAACACGTGTATTCGCAGCTCTTAGGAGCGTTTATCCGACCCTCCAGGAAGCAGGAAACTACTGAAGAAACGAAAAGTAAAGCGATGGAAAACGAACGGCGCCACAGCGAGAGCCAAGGCCAAACGCACGGCAGCCACTGGTCAGTAAACAACAAACAGATGCTGGCGCTATGCCTTGGTGTGGCAGTGGGGCTAAAGCGCGCCAGCCCGAGAGACGGGGAACGTGTACGAAATTGAAAGAACGGCTGCAACGGAAGCCGTTTGGCACGCCGAAGGAAGAGAAAACGAGGCCCTCCCTCCAGTTCGAAGCACTCGCCCTTTCCCAACTCGGTCTTTCCTCTTCCGCCCACACTCGAGCGAAATGCGCGCACAGTATAGGATCTCGCCAACGTTATGCAAGTTTGAACCTCACTTCACTCAACTAAGGGCAATCTAAGAAAGGGGGGTGCGCACCAACAATTTCATGATCAAAGCTACAGGAATGTCTGCTACAGTAAGGCAAAGAAATTCGAAGCATCCACATTTATTCTGGTTCAACTTTAAAATGGCCTAATAGAATATCCAAAGAGAAAGACGCCATAAAATAAGCGGCAAGCCTTGCCCTACTTCATTTCTCACGCATGGACCAGACGGGCCGGAACAGGCAGAGGCGCGGACATGCAAGTTCACTGACAGATGGATGAGCGTCCCCTTCAGTGCTACGTTCTGTACTGCGATGAAGTCAATCTTACCACAGAAAAAAAAAAAAATATTAATCACAACCCAGTCCTCTGCCCCTCACGGCGTAAAGGTCATCTTCTTCCCACTGTTTATCTTTGTGCTCTCTCTCCCTCTCTCTCTCTCTGGTTTTCTGCCACCACCAACACTCCAACCATCTCTCACTTATTTCTGTCGCCGGCGAGTTCACATTTCCACTCTCTCAAACCCGAGGCTTTATAAGCAGCTTAGTCTACAGCTGGGTGGATTTCTCCGCATTCAATTGAACTCCCGCTTAACAGAGGCGCCACATAACGCAACTGCTATCGTCCACTAGACCACACAGTCACGCCACAGCCGCGCTTCTTCAAACATATTTTACACGGTAACGGAGAGCCTGCAACAAACGCAGATCGAATAGCAAATTTGTTACCGATTCAATAAATCAAAGATCAATAAAGGTGCTTGCCTGGCCATAAAGAGAGTCCGGCGAGACGCGGGGTTCAGCCGAGCGTCGTAAACACAGGTGCGAGGAGAAAAAAAGCTTCCATCGCGATGGAGATATTGCTAGGCGCGCTCGACAAGAACCGCACGGCAGCGGCGCAGGCTTGTTTAGACAAGGGCGTTTATAAAGAGCCATCGAGAATGAAAGGGCCACGCGCATCTGCACCTTATGAAAACCCAGCTTCACTGCGGCGGGCTCGTTGCAGTACGGCACCAAGTATGCTCGCTCTTCGAAACGCAATTACCGGGGTCGGTGTCCGTGAAAAACGAAAAAAAAAAAAAAAAACACGGACTAGCTAAGCATTCCAGGAAGTCCTTACTATCGTTAAAATAAACATCAAAGCTTGATCACCTGAATTTATTATGATTACCTGAAACCACCTAGATTTTAAGACCTCACAGCTAGCCAGGGCAGGAACTTGTGCTACTGATATTTTCCATTCGCGCTTCTTTCCGATGCGAGAGCAGACTTATTGGTTTCATGGAATGGTGATTCCATAACCCGAGTGAAACCGTTTTTATCCTTCATGACGTCCTGTAGTTCAAGTCAAAGTGTACATCATTTCCTGAAATTAAGACGGTGGTTCTCAAACGAGGTACTGTGATGCCATCACACGTGAAAAAAAAAATAAATAAAAGCAAGAGAAAAAAAATTTCGAACGTGAGCTGTGGCCCTTTCTCAATTCTAGGTCTTGCTCCAAGAACCGCAGAAACCTTCCCAACAAAGTCGCCTCGGATGCCTGAAAGCCTCAATTGAAAACTAAGCCTGCTACATCGGCTGCAATAGTGCTGCATTTACAATGTCTGGTCTGTCCTCCAGTGAATGCAAACGCACCCCCCCTGTCTTCGGTTTTTCACACCAGAGGGTCGGCTATCACTTAGGCCAGTTCACAAGTGGTTCCGACACGGAGGCCCTGGCCTAACACATCAAACTACCCACGTGCACTGGACGGAGCACTTGTCTGTGTCAGCTTTTTTTTTGCCTTTTTTTTTCCCACACTCGAAATTTTCTTGACGATGGATTGAACGGTAACAATAATGTATTTAACGAGTCCCGTGCAAATTGGCAAATACAAGCGGGCTAGTCTCGAGACGAGATCCATGGGGGGCAAGGGCAGCCAGCCATTAGTTTCGCAAACTTGGGACGCATCACAGTTCAATCGCCAGTTGCACGGCTGCGCCTACTGCTACCGTTCCTTGCAGCCTGTCTGTCGTGAGGGAGGGGGGGAACTTTGACGGGCTCCCGAGCGGCTCACTCTGGCTGCCTTCAGGCGCTTCCTTTCTTAATCCAATAGAGTGCTGCTGCCGAGGCATTTGCCACCGGGAGGGACTCTAACTTCAATGCGAGGCGCAGGGGGAAGCCGAGGCGGCGGTCGCATGAAAGTCGGCCAGCGCTCAGGTGAAAAATAAATTATATATATATATATATATATATTCGATTCCTGCTCAAGGCTGGTTACTTTTTCATCCACTTTTCTTTCTTCTTATTTACATTCCATTGGTTCTAATAACTTCCCCTGTACATTCCTTGGCATTACTGTCTGTTATATCTCATTAATATTGTGTTAAAAACACGGAAATACGAGCCCTTAGGTATACACTTCTCTCCCTTATATATATATATATATATATATATATATATATATATATATATATATATATATATATATATATATATATATATATATATATATAAATTTGCCACAAAAGTAATTTAAGGCAGCCTAGCACCAGGGATGCCAAGCCTGCTGAAGGAATTGCCAAACTGTGCAGCCTTTTTTCTCCTCTTTTTTTGTTTTCTTTCTTGCTCCTTTTATTTCTTCCAACTTTTTCCCTTTTTCTCTTTTGCCCTTGCTTCATCATTTCTTTTAAATTCTATTTTTTATACTTGGTTTTGCCTGCATTACCACTGGCCAGGGCCCCTAAAGTGCTGTACACTCATAATCTTGAAGACGCTCAAAGAACACGAGGAGGAAGACTTCTCCTTGGCATGAGTGCTGCCTGCGTTACGCCAAGCGACGACAACTGCATACGACCGCAGCCAATGCAAGCCTGATGCCATCACTCCACACCTAGAATGAGCCATTCTCCACAGAGTTCGACAGCGGTGCAAAATAGACATGAACTACAAAAGGAGCTCGATAAGGACCCACGTAGAGCCTTACCAGTGTGTTTTGCTATCTGTGCTCCAAGGGTAACTAAAGGGAACATCAGCTGTACTTGGAGCCTTTCACTTATGTGGTGGTATTTCCTATTGTGGCACCACATTAAACCATACATGCAAATGTATACAGACACACTCAAACAAGCTCACGTGCTCGCTCTCTGTTGTCTAAACAGTACAGTAAAACCTCGTTATACAAACACCCCATTGTCAGAACAACACACTCTGGTTGAGGGCATTAACACTCTACGTCTTATTGCCGATGTTTTCAGTATTCCTAACTAAAATGTTGCACAGCATGCCAAGTATTTCTCAAGGATTGGATCAATTTCAAGTAGACTAGGCTACAGGAATGAGGGTAAAAAAGTCAATCACCATTTCAATTTAACTTGCACTGCGTAATCACAATGTGCTTTTGTGCAAAATAAATACCCTTCACTGCAAAACAGGAACGTCTGCACAACTTAGATATGATTGCTCTAGTTGAAATTATACATTTAACAATAATGGTATTTCAATATAATGGACAATTGGCAGTGGCTCTTAATATCGTGATTTCAATGTATATTAAATATATACAACATACAGCCTAGATACAGTACTCTCGTGAAATGAGACCTGTAGAGATCAGGAAAATATGTTCCATCTGATAGGTGTTCCACTGATTAAGGCAAACAAGGGTGCCGAATACAAGTACAAAAGCAATTTTTCCAGAGGCACTTGTTTTGCTTAAGCCATTGCCTGAGAGTCTACTGTACTTTAATTAGAACCTCTAGAGACCAGGGAAATGAATTCCGTTACCAGAAAGCTCTATCTGATTTGTCTGCACCACCTGAACTGGTTAAGAAGGTGCTGCAACCCCCAAGTAAGGTTATTCACCACTGCTGAACCGTTAGCTTTAAAAGCTGCAGGAGATGTGCAAACACTTAGGAGGGGGCACAGCTGCAGACGACACGCATCAATACACGCCCTGTCTGAACCTTACTCATGCACATCCGCCATGTCTACGCAAGGCAAGAAATGCGGTCTGCAACCTCTCGAGGCTTACGTGGACAGCACTTATTAAGTAAGTAGAACCAACATTGCACCTATGCCACGTGGGCATCTCGCCATTTATTTCCAGGGCTGTGTTTAGAGCTCCACAAAGATCTGAGCTTCTCGTGCCTCACCGTCAACCAGTTCAGAGTGCACGAATAGCGATGTGGCTGACTATGCTACTGTTTACAACTCTGTTTACCTAAAGTCATGGTTCAGTTAAATTTTTTTTTCTTGAAATGCCACAGATTAAACAACTAAACAACCATGCAAGTGTTGTTCCGTTAAAATCACAGCTTCATTCAAGCAATATTCATTTGACAAGATTTTACAATATTTTTTTTTAGTGCTTTCCCTAGCTTCGTGTGCAGACAAATAGTGTCTGACAGCATTGAATAAAATAAAAGCTGACACTACATATGAACAGAAAATCGCAGTCATGACTTACGGAGGGCTGGCCACTTTCCTAGAGTCGAGGAGGTGCTTCGAGTCGCCTGAAGATCAGAAAATATATTACCATTAACAGAGACCTACTGCACCACATAGCCGTAGTCGGCAATGAAATACTATCTCGGAGAGACACTCTATGTAACACAATTGTCATAGCCTCTATGTCACTGGATACTCAACACATAAGTTAAGCTCATTAAAAAGTTGTTAAAAGGGTACTGATACAAAATTTTGTGACTGAGATAGCCTCCCAGATTGATTCCCCTGAACAAGCGTATATCATGTAAAAAATATCAAAAGCGAATATGGGGAGGAAGGTATTCTACAGCAATTTTGAAGATAAAATATTGAAGGTATTGACAACACCTAAAAAGACCCCTTACGTACAAAGTGTAATTGTACCAATGAGCTCATTTGATTGTACAATAAAAGTGCTCCCGATCCAGCAAAAGCTGAATTCCAAAAAGTAAACTGACCCACAGAGCATGCCACGAATAAAAAGATATGAAACTTACCATTTTCATCCAAGTGATTAGGCACTGGGTCCTGAAAAGTGATTAAGAGTGAGGTGTCAGATATTTACTAGCAATGTTCTTCTAGATCATCCAAGCAGTGCTAAAGGTATGAAACCACACGTTCTGCATTCAGTGTTGAGCGATCGGAGTGAGCAAAAAGAGATATCACAAACTTTCATGACACACACTGAAAACTTGCCAGATGCAGTGTTAAGGAATTCTGACAATGCAGAAGGCCACGCAAGGAATTCATTTGAACCTCTTGGAAACATTTAGTCAATATCTAGGCAGTAAACGTACCTAACGTTTTTAAAATGACTCACAGAGTCCCTAATGCATTTGCCTACGATAACTTGAAGGCAAAAGCCACCAACATTTTATTTTCAGTAGAAAAACTGATCCTCCCACCCCCAACCTTTACAAAAGCTTTCTACGCATGAGGTGGTTGTACTGCCTCTGCAGAATGTGTTCAAGGTTAGTTGGCTACGAACTCGATAAAAAGATCGATACACTTTCATATAGGTAAACAAATAATTAATCTATCAACAAAGCTGTGCGGTATCGAAACCAAGCGTGTCATAGTACACTGACACTGACAGCCCTAAAATTCCTTATTTGAGTACCTGCGTTTATTAATGCTCTGCTTGTTGATGTTTGAGCGGGATTCCCCTTATGCTGTGCCCATGTGTATAATAAATTCTAGTTCAGTTACCACAGAGGTTAACCCCGTAATACCTAGGAATGCTTTCAGAAAAATTGCAAAAAATTGCTGAGTGTTTTTGCTTTTCTTGTACAGTTCATTAAAAAATATATATATATGAATCAAATTTTGTTTGAGGCATAACCTATCTAGTACTAATTGAAAATAATTACTATCATATAACGTCTAAGTCACTGTACCTTCTTCATGACATGTCAAATTTGCAATGGCTGCTTATCCTGACACGTATAGTAGCTTTTAGTAGCGTTATTGAGGTATCATATTCCATGTGTGAAATGTGATACAGTGGGCATTACAGGGTTGAATCATGATCATGGACCTTAGTCAACCGGATATAGATGTTCGACAAGGTGCCTTACAAAACTTACCCAGTTATTTTCACCCTATAAAACACACATAAAAAGCTTATAGATATGCAGTGATTTAACGCTTTGCTGATGTGCACTTTCATCAGCCCATGAGGCTACAACACTCGACTTCATCACGAGCATTTTTTTGCAAGGCAGCTTACCTGCACCGGTGTTGTTGGAAAATGAGGCCGGCATTCCTCTTTCCTGGGGGTTTCAATTGCTGTCAACACTGGTGGAACTTTCTTCATTTCCTGCAACGATGAATCAGATTACAGTTAAAACGACAAATAAGCAAAAAAACCAGCTGGAAGTAAAGATACGGTGGCATAAATTTGGGAAAGCTTGCTGGTACTAGTAACATACAATCAAACTAAAGTTTAAACTAAAAGCCTGCTTTCATAGCGTGCCTTGAAGCAGCTGAAGTTTTGAGATGAGTGATTGGAAATGGCCAATGAGACGCCTACAATGCACACTTTATGTTTTATCAGTCAAAACTTTGTGAACCTTTCCAACAATTACTATATTGGGGCACCATTTAGTAAGAAACCAGTAGCATCACAATTTGGACAAATACAAAATCATTTAACTCAACACATTACTGTTACGGCGCTACTAACTGGAGGAACAGAGCTAAACGCCAGTCACTGACCTTGAGAATGGTTTCCAGTTCCGGAAGTGTGCTGCCAGTCTGCAAAAATGTGAACAGAGAACTTTGAAGATCATGTATAAGGAAACGAGATATATTTATGAAATAAAAGACCTCTTGGCATTCATTACTGATAGAGAAAATATAAACATGCTCTTCTTTTCAGTTTCCTATTTTGTTGTGTCTTAGTCTTAATGTACAGTACCAGCCGGCCTTAAAGGAAACACTCTAATGAGCACCTGTCATATGGTGGGTCTTACGAAAAATCTAAGCCACTATGCTTTTGCCACAGAGCGATATCCGGACATGGTGCGTGCAAAAGTGTTCCCTTTAACAAAAGTGAACCCATCCGTACATATTGTAGCTCGAGCTTAAAGGGCATTATTTGCGTGCACAAACTTTCATGAATCACGCTCTTGGCAAGTTTTAATGCAATCTCCATCTCAGAGAGAGAATAAAATGAGGGAAAGGCAGGGAGGTTAATCTCAGAAGCACAAATGCTCACATGCAAAAGTTTTAACCTGCACGAAATGTTGATTAAATGCATAAGTAACGATCTGCAACAATGGAAAAGAAGCAATGAAATGAGATAGCAAAGCAGATCTTTCCAATGTGAAACAGCAACAAAGTGCTAACGGAATGTAAGCATCACCTGCAGGCGTTCGTCTTTTCACTGCCTTCCAAGCCCAACAAATAAGACGCTTAAGGACAGCAAGCCACCTGAACCAATTCCATTCAGCCAGAACAACTTCCCACTACAGTGACTAGCAATGCACATTTCCTTGACGGCCATCATGGACTCTGAGCAAGCCAAACAACAAAGCAAGATGAAAGAAAAGGCGGTGAAAAAGAACACCTAGTCCCAAGTCTGATTCTCAGCAGGCCATGGAAAAAGAGAAGACAGTGTGAAGAGCAGTGGTATGTTTCTATTTTGATTCAATTCTTCCTGTCTCCCTCAATAGGAGTGGGACATGTAGTCGCAAGCAGCACATTGAATTGGAGGAGCACAACAGTGCCATGAACAAATGCTCAGATCAAACAGCACCAGATGTCAAAAACTCAACTAGAGCTGACAACTAATATATAAATGTGAATGGGCTGTCCAATCCTTCTGCCCCAACCAGGGAGCGCAATGCAAGCAAGAAGAAAAGGAAGACTGCACCAGACAAAAAGTGCAGATTCAGAGGAAAAGAGAGGCAGGCGGGGCGTTGTCGTTCCCTTGGCAACGCTCCTCGACCACCGCGAAACCAATCAATAAACAACCCATTTCCTTGAGGGGCATCACTGCTAGTGCCTCCTTCTCTGCGGAATGTCCTCCAGAAAGCATGGCTCAGCTCTCTCAGCCTCTTAACAGCTCAACAAGTGCACTGACAACCCTTCTACTTGAGCGCACAGGGTCACAGCAATTACAATGCTAATAAACAAGCCCTCAATACAGTTTTCTCCGAAAGTAATAAATTAAGCATGCTTCACCCTAGGGATGCCAAGTCTGAAAGAAGAGCGGAGCTGAGCAGTCTTCTTTGTTTCTCTTTTTCTTTTTCTTTCTGTACCCAGTTTTCTTCCCTCACCTTATTTCTATTTTTCTCCACTGTTTTAAGGAATGCTTGCATCCTTTTATTCCTTTTTTTTCTTCCTATTTCTTCCGTGTTTCCTCTTTCAATTTTTATAGATGGTTTGTGTTGTCATGTTTTCCTAGCCATATAGTAACGTCTGCACTTCGTCATCAAAAAGGCACCCGAAGAAGAAGAGGATAAAGACTTCCCTTTGGCAGGAGCGTGCACTTGATATGCGAGAGCTGACAATGCTATATATTGTTTTGCCAGCATTAAGCCAAGCGACGACGACAGTATACGACAGTCTGGTGCCCTAATGAGCTTCGTATTAAAGAATAGTAGACAACTAAATTACGGAAGTGAGACTATGATGACAACATTTCTTTTTGCAAATTTTTTTTTTTTTAATATGGGCTGCCACCTCACTTAAATTCAACTGCCTTGCCCACTGAAGTGAGTACACTAAATCATAAGAATAACGTAGTACAATATTTAAGTTTATTAACAGGAACGATAGTGATTACAGCACAAGGGAGGTCACGGGACTACCAACGAAGACAAGCGCAGACTTTCAACTAAAGTTTTTATGTAACCAACAAGCAATTTATGAAAGATGACAGCATTTGATAAAAATCACATCTGATTAAAAATGCCCCCTTGTGAAACACGAAGCTGACTAAAGCAGGCACAGCCCGGCCAAAAAGAACAAGAGCACATGTGTGGGCGCAAGAAAGAGAGTTCTTTTTCTGAAGGATTTTTTTTTTTTTTGTATGCATTGCCCGTAGTGTGTCGGTATGTATTCGGTCGTTTCAAAGTACGAGTGTACTAGCAAAGCATCCCAACGAGAACACAAGACTAATCGCTGAAACTGGCTCTGTTAGTAGGCCTTGAGACAAGGGTCACTTGCTTGCTCTATGTAGTCAGCTTCGTATCACAGGAGGGGGCCTTTTTTGTAAGATGGGGTTTTAGCATGCGACTGGGCTGTGTAAAGTGCCTTGAGAAAAAATATGTCTACTAAGGACAGGTGAAGGGGCCAAGAAATATTTCTCCCCAATTACACACCTTTAAAGGAGTAAATTTTGCCACAAGGCACTAACTGTGACAAGTGATATCCACACAAGCTGTAATGCTGTGCACCAAATACCTTTTGCCCTGAAAAGCTGGGCAAAGGATTAATAGTGGCAAAAATTACTGCTGTGTGGCTGCAGTGAACCTACAATGGATGATATGTTTATATGCATCAGCGGCCACAAAAAATGGACAAAAAAAAAAGTGAGTTTATGGGCAGGCACGTTTGGAACCTGGGCATGTCGGACCGGCAAATATCAATACTCTAAAGATATGTGGTAAGCAACCCATTTTCAAAAAGCTTTTTTTTTCCTTTGTTGCAGATGCCAAATGTAGTGCCAATTCAGCTTTTTCTACACTCATATTAGTTTTGTTGATAGGACCTCTATCATAAGTTCATTAGATAGCCTAAAATAGCCTTGAAAAAAAAAAGGTCACCCTTCCGGCAATCTAGCTCGAGTTGTGAGAGTACCAGAGTGGGCACATGGCAAGCGGTTACATACTCACCCCACTATCTGATGAAGGGGCTGAAACTTGGAGCCGAGGCGCAGGCCGCTTGGGTTTGGAGTCGGATGCAGAGCTCCTTGGCAACGAAGAAGACTTTGTGCTACCGGCTGCTGGGCCATTGCTTTCTGTGCGCACCGTGAGCGATGAAGAATTTGTGGACGACTGGTGCTGTGCCGAGGCTGAGCTGTTTCCATTGTTCACATCCTTGGAGGGTGCACGCATGGCTGGTGGTCGAACGATAAGGCCATTTGGAGGTCCTTGGCTCGATGGTGCCACTGGGGGGTTAGTGGTTGAGGCTGTGCTCGAGGCCACACTTGAAGCTGGCAAAGAGCTTGCCTTGGAATTCGATGTTGCATCCTCTAGCCGGCCTGAAATCAGGGACAAGAAATAAAATAATTAAAGAATGCTTGAAAAACCGTGGAAAAACAACTATAGGAATCTACCGCTCTTGATTCAAACAAATTAACATAATATATTAGCTCGAACACCAAACTGAAAAGAAGTCAAGTATATCTGTAGTACCAATACATGCCAGAAAGTTTGCTCTTCAAAATACTATGCAGCCTTTTGCATAAATTAAAATCAAACACAATGACATGCCTTACAACGAATTCGAACCTGCAATTTCAGGAGAAGTGAAAGGCACTTCCGCCGTTTGTCTCTGAAGTTCATCAAGCCATTTAATCAGACAGCAACAAGTTCTGCTAGACCTTCCTTTTACACAATTACTGTCCACTACTATGACTTACACAAATTCACAATGCTAGTAGAAGCAGCCCATACAGGCCTGCATCATTTGCTAAGTTCACGCAGGCTGAACATTCAATAAAATCTAGCAAGAATCACAATTTATAACTGTATAGTTACTTTGAAGAAACTAGATGCTGTATGTTGAGCTATTTCAAAGATTTGCACTATGATAGCACACCCAGTTCTTTTGAGAGGTTGAACAGTCAACATAAGTCAATTCTAAAGACCAACATCATCAGTGCCCCAAGTTTGAATGAAATGGGAAAAAAAGCTGAAACATTTGGGAGAAATTTTCTACGGCCTTACTGTTCTGCATTAGTGCGGTCTAGCAGAGGCTGGCCATACAACAGGCCAAAAACATTTTCTTTAAATGATTTTTCAGCTGTGGCTATGTACTCAAACACTTAAAAGCACACTAAACGTGTGCTCAGTCTTTCCCCTTGAATGATTCTTTGTAAAAAATTCTTTGTAATAAGCAGCATGGCTCGGCTGTTTCTGCAGAATGTGCTAGTAAAAGAAGGACCAGTGGACATGACGATTTGCAAGATTAAAAGTTAAGAAGAGTCAACTGTGTGGCCCCAAAAGAGTCACACAAGAGGTCTCTATGTGTGGTGCAACTGCAAAATAAGTCTTCAGACAACTTGAAAGCATCTGCAACGAGTGTTCCTTGAGTGTCTATCAACCCACTCACTACACTGCCTTTGGTTAAATAAGCAATAGGAGGGAGGTGGGCGTGGTCCTAACCTTGCTCGTGAGAGCTGCCCCTTGACTGGTGGTGGTGGTGGCTCGAGCTCTGCGGAGGCTGGGACGGGTGCCTGCTGTTCTTGCCGGCTGCCGAGGATGACGAGGAAGTAGACGAGGGCTTGTACTGGCCGTTCATCAGCGGCGGAGGTTGGTGTGGCGGCTGCTGCTGCTTTTTGTGATGATGGTGAGAGTGGTGGTGGGAGTGGTGACTGCTGCCATGGTGTGAGCGGTGGCTTGAGCTGCTGTGGTGAGAGGAACCCTGCTGTTGATTGCTACTGCTGGACTGGCTAGCAGGATGCGCGCCGCTGGCACCACCACTGCTGTTGCTGCTGCTCACACTATTACTATGGTGTTGCTGCTTAGCCAGCGAGCTGCTGCTATTGCTGCTGCTACTTCTTGTTCCTCCAGGATCTGTGCACAAATAGACCAATGCCCACGAGCTTTACTACAGCGTAGACAGGTACTACTGCCTCCCCATTCCCTTTGTCTTTCAGTCAGTAGGTGGCAACAACTGGTGTGCTTACATCATGAATAAGCACATTAAAGCCACAAATGATTTCGTTATCTATAATTCAAGAAAAATACTTATCCTACAATAATATTAATTCCTGCTTTTGCAACATGCTTTATAATAACAGAAACATGATTACTAAAGGAAAATAAATTTATTAGGGGCCCAAAAACAATTAATTGCTTGCACTGCTAGAAACCACTTTTCTTGTATAACAACCAAAAATGCCTTTTGACAAGCACATTGAAAATTAACTACACAGTGAGGACAAAGTAGCTCCACAACCTTTAATACAAGGTTTAATTAAGCAACTATATTAAAGGTTGTGTCATTGTATTCAGCCACAGTTATCCTTGCATATAATTTAGGTTAGTCTGCATGCAGAACACTTTAGTTTTTCATACCTGCCCATAACTAGAAATTGTTATCTATCAGATGCAACTACTTGGCAGTATACTGAACGTTTTTAATACAAGAACACATATTATTAATGTGCTGTTACCATGATAGATAAAAACTTGGTATGCCATAAAATCACTAATACCTAACTAGTCAATTACTGCCACGACTGCTTCGTCATTGGGTGCTAGAACCTTTGTTGAGCTACCTTCCCAGCCTTTTGTCCAAACTTTTCCTCGTACTAATAGAAATCTACCATAACGCTGATTTGGTATGTGATAATATGAGCAGTGCTACCAGATAATGATTAAAGCCCTGTGCTTGATTGCAGTAATCTTGCGTTGTGAGTCACATGGCAGTAGCAGAAGTGACGGTGTCCACCTGAAATCAATATATATTCACGAAGAGGGAGGATAGTAACCTAATTACTGACCCAGCTAAAATGCATTTTAACTACCTGTAACATTATATTATAGGTACCTATTATGTCTGCAAACTCAATAAAATATGATGGCCATTTGTTCCACACTGGAAGTTCCTGCCAAAAAAAGTTCAATTAACCTTTCATTACAGGGGTACAGTTAACTACAATATATTGAAATTCTCATATAACAAAGCATGATATCCATGATTTCAATTTAGATTTTCAATGCTAATTCGAAGGAAGACCAAAGCGATAACTGATACTTCTGTTGCAGCGAAGGGTCCTCGGATTGAGTTGAATGATGTTTTTAAAAATGCTTATCCTAAATTATCAATGCCCTCAACCTGCATTTCTTGCCTGGTCATGCATGACATTCGGCCCTCTGGCGACAACTTGTTCACTGGCAAGACATCCATCTGTGGTCAGCATATCTCAGGTTCAAGAAGTGTTTTTTGTGTGTGTGTGTGTGTGTGTGTGTGTGTGTGTGTGTGTGTGTGTGTGTGTGTGTGTGTGTGTGTGTGTGTTCTGTATTACTGAAACGTTACTTTACAAGAGATAGGGTTCATTAGGCAAAACACTGAAAACAGGCTACTGCGCCTCATTTCATGTGCTCGCTACTTCAGCGTGCAAACGATGAAAGTATGGCAAGCTGTAAAAACCAACCCGTGGCGTTGCCATTCCACGTGGAGGCCGTGCTGCTGCTGCCATTGACGGGGTTGCTAACGGCAGGTGGCGCTCGAGCCTGCGCGGCCGCATTGGTGCGCGAGATGCCAATCAGGTGGTTGGGGTCATGCGAGAGGAGCCGTTGCACCTGGTTGAAGTCACCCAGAGTGCTTTTGATGCGTCGGGACAGCTCATCTTCCTGGCCGGGATCCACCTGCAAAGCACAAAACCGCCAAGCTTCAAATGACGTGTTCACACAGATAGCTAATTTTCCCTCCAATGGGGGCTGACAACAACTGGCAGCCTTTCGGCAAGCAGTAACCGATACTGTCACTCTTCTGCAACATTGGATTTTGGAAATATGTTTCTCATGAAAGATGACAGATGGGGTATCGGACCACTTGGCCAGTCAGTATGCTAAAAAAAACGGCGGGAAGGGAAAGATGGAAGCTTTCAATGAAAAAATCCGTTAACGGGGGTCGTGTGCTCGAGCCGACCTTTAGACAAATGGACTTGTCTGCTTCAAGACTAAAGCTGGCCTTGAAGAAGACGAGTCCACATGTCAAAACGTGAGCTCGAGCACACAACCCCTGCTATGAATTTCATTGTCTATTACTACGCTGTGGGCGAAAGGGAAACAGCCTTGATGACCTTTACAGCAGTTTTTTCGGCTGCTAAACCAAGTACCGAACCATCACACACACAATATGATGCATGGAGAAATGGACGGCCTATGATGTAGGCACATCTACGACAATTTATGGCACTTATCACTATTACGATTGTGGAAATCTTGTTGACGAATTATGAGCCAACAAGGAATATTGGAATGTGTTAGATTCTCTGTGTTCCATCTCTGCCTGTGTTTTGTCAGCTACTGCTTACATGTGTATGATCAGTACTTGGTCGCAGTTATTACAGAAATCACAAGCAGCAGCAACTACAAAGTAACAAGTACTGGTAATTGTGCAACAAAGACTACGACAACTGTGGAAAATGAAGCACGAAAGTGAAGAGATCTGCCACAGTCAATGTCAACAAGGTGTTTGTACCCTTGGTATATGGGCAACTCTAGCAATTTGCTTAAGCAATGATGTTGCCCCAAGCCAACATTTTGACAAGTAGACTTGCCTTCGTGAAGGCTACCTTGACAAAGACCAGTCTACTTGCCAAAATACTGGCTCTCACAACATTCTTTTTTTCAAGAAAACTTCCTTGCCCAGACTTGCATAAGAAGCCTGTTCTACAGAGCAGGTCAAGATTAGCAAGACCTCACCAAAATGGTCTAGGGATGTCAACATGAGTACACTACCACCAATGGAAATTCGTTGAGCAGTCAAAATTATGCTCATTAGGCCGCCAGTTCTGGCCTACACTCACCACCTTAAGAGCATACTGACATTGGCAATCTAGCACCACATTATGTAATGTTTGCAGCAGTCAGCCCATGTTATGTGTATGCTCATGCTCGGTTATTCCAGCGTGTCCCATACCTTGATGGGGGCCCTGAAGATGGGATGTCCTCCGGAATCTCCTCCGCCCAGACCCGCGCGAAGTGCACGGGCCTGTCGCTCCCGCTCTCGAAGGGCATCACGCTCCACGCTGCGTAGAAAACAAGAAGGCAGCGCTGTTAGACACCGTTTCGAAATACTCAGCACCTTTAAAAAATTATGGTTTGCATGCCAATGCTGCTATCTTATTACGAAGACGTGGGGGGACTCCATGTCAATTTTGGTAAAAAAAAAACAGTTACCACCAAGTGGCAAATAACGTCCAAGTGTCATATTTTGGGTCAAATCACATATAGAACATTCTTTTCTCCCCTAGAACACTTTCTGTGGGTATGGGCAGCAAACAATGCCCCTATTACAAAAGCTTACAGATTAGGTTGCTCATAAGGTTTCACAAAAACAGAATATGAAAGGGCCGTGTTCGATAAACTTGAAAACTGTGGCTTTTCAACACTGTCGACATCGCAATGCAAACATATTTATAGAGATTTGCACTCCAACTCACATGGACACAAGACCCGATTCCATCAGCATGTGAAACGAAAATGTGTCGTTACTTCTTCGGCTGATAACAAACCATCATCGCCGCTCGACGCTCCCGTTTCTGAGCACTGAAATCAGCTGTACAGCGTAGACGGTATCCCCACACCAGCTTATCTGGCACAAAAATGAATAATTTGTCGCAAAGGAAGCCAGTGCACTTCACATCGACTGAGTACAGGGACCACCTTCAGAGAGCCCCCCAGGACAGATGAATTGATGTCGACGTGAAACAGATACAAGTGAAAGGCAAAAACGCTTGTTTTTAAATATTGTGAGTGAGAGTGTGTCTGTCAGCGTGTGCATGAATAAAAAAAAAACAACAGCAGCAGCAGTGATGATGGTAGGGAAGGTCCTCATGGTAGGAAAAAAAAAACGATGTGAAAGTAAGATCCACACTAGTTTCAATAAAAACCACACACCATATTCACTGTGCCCCAGACTCCCCCCTCCCCCCTGAAGTCTTGTCATCACGACTGAAGTCACTGACAGAAGTGCACTGAAGAAAACCCATAGCACCAGGCTGCGGCATAGCCATGGCCTATGACAACTTATTTATTTGTGGTGGGTACTGCCCCCATGCCTAAGTATAAAACACAGTGATGGCATACCATTGCGTTTGAACACAGCGGGAACAGTGGTGGCATGAAGCCGTCACAAAACACGTGGAATCACCATCGGCCAAGTTTCTAATATTAGTCAACATTTTGAGCATCGACAAAATCAACCCATGCTTTAGCAGTTAGTAGCTTACCAATAAACCCTAACACTTTACCCTAAAGGCGCGCTATGAAATCGAAAGGAATGGATCTCCAGGAGGCCACTCCTCTTGAACACAACTTGACGAGCTCAGCATTCGAGAAAAAAACACAGGGGTCTTCGCTGTTAGGAATATTTAATTAAAGCGGAGTAACTATTATACGAAAATAAGGTTAATTAAACTGTCGAGAAAAAACACGACGCGGGGACCGAAAGGTCATTTTACCATTTTTTTAATGAGCCTACGAACACGGTGAAAACTAAACAATGACGCTGCTTCAACTTGACCTACGCAAGGTAGTAAAACTGGCTTCGGCTGTGTGCGTGCGTGCAGTACGCACAAGAATCGAAGAATTTCTCGGTGTATTTCAATTATGGCGCAAGCGGGGGGACAACACAAATCAAACGAAAAACAACGTCACGCAGCCGATGACGCCGGAGCTTCGCACGTGCGCCACTTCCGGCACCGTTGCTCATTTTCGCCATCGTCGCTCGCGAAGTCCGAGAATACACGGCCACGACGGGGATGGCCAGCGTACGCAGCAAAACAGGGCCACTGCAACAAGCAATATGGCTGCGTGTAGTGCACCCATTCTGCAGTCTTGATTGATTTGTAGGGTTTAACGTCCCAAAACCACCATATGAGAGACGCCGTAGTGGAGGGCTCCGGAAATTTCGACCATCTGGGTTTCTTTAACGTGCACCCAAATCTGAGCACACGGGCCATTCTGCAGTCTTCCGGCGAGTCACTCACGAAATGCGATCCACGCAAACCAAGTTTCCATGACAGTCCGACTCGACCGCAGTTCGCGAAACCGAGCGCAACTAAATTTCATTTACGGCTCCCGCCTCACCTTGAGTCTGCGAAAGCAGCTTTCCAAGGCCCGATCTCTGTGGACACTTCCCGCCCTCGGGCAGGCGCGAGATTGCCGACCGAGCGTCTTTAAGACCTCCTCGTCGTCGAACAGTGGCAAAAATGGCGCAGCCGGGAACCGCACGCGTCGACGCCCGACAGGCTAGAGAACTGCGCAGCGGGCGCCAGAAAGGTCGGCGCGGATATTCACCTCGGCGGCACGTGTGACCACGGCCGCAGCTGGGCATTATTTCATGCAGTCCCGAGATCGAGCGACGTTTTTGCCTGCGTGTCTGACTACGGGAGCAGCTCTGAAACGCAACCGCGAAGAACGTTCGTCAGTTTATGTCGGTTGTATATCGGAACCGAGAAACTCTGAATGCAAGCTTTACGGGTTGGCGACGGTGTACCAGTGACACGATACCGACCTTGCCAGCGGCTAGGCGCCGAGAAATAGCTTCCGAATGAATACAAAAATGTCCCCTGACATTTGAGGCGCAACCGGGGAGCTAACCTCCATGAAGCCCCGGGAAAAACGATCGGGCTGCCAGATAACGATGCTGAAGGTGCCCCCCCCCCCCCCCTCGCACACGCGTGCTAGGATGTCTTTTGAGGTGCATTTGGAAAGACAGGCATGTCCATTCCGCTTCCACCTTCCTCGCGTCATCTCGGCTACGTCAACGAGAAAGGAGAGCGAGAAAAGTTGCCACTGCCGTTTTCCTCCACACGCCACTCATCCTGGCCGAAGCGGCAGCTGGGGGAAAAACACACAGGAGCCCGATGATTACACATTCGCCGCTATCGAAGAAAGAAACGTGCACAGCCACACATAGCTGGTGCCGGCGCCGCAATAACCAGTTTGGGGACAGCTAGAAAACAAAAGGCCCAAACAAGCACGCCGCAGCCGCCTCATCGGTCAAGCCTCGAACAAGATGTCTACTGCGCCTTCCGGCCCTACAAGGACGCCCTTTCGCGGCGGCTGAGCGCGCCAACAGTCACGGCGCCGGGGTGGTGTATTCGTGTATATTTGGAAGCGGCGCGGCTCAGACCACAAATTCAAGCTCGTTGAGAGAGAAGCCACCGAGTTGGTATCGTTCCAGAAGAGAGAGGGAGGAGTGTCGCCGCCGAACTACGCGTCATGACGTGGCGCGTGACGAATGCGCAGAGGAAGACTGGATAATTGGCGTAAAATGAGGAATGAAAAAAAAAATCGTGTTAATGAACCTTCCTCGCAAATGTTACGCATGAACAAAAAGCGCGACAAGTAACGCAAATGCATATTCAGAAGTACTAACGAGAATCTATGATGAGAAATCCTTTAACAGGGTATGTCACTGGATTCGAGGCTTCTATTGTGGACAAGGCAGACAACCTCACAATCTAGAAAACTTCAGCTCGCTGGAGCACAGGTACATAATAGCTTCTTTGATATTAATGCGAGAAATTGTAAGCAAGACAGACCGAATGCAGAAATCCGGTGTGCAAGGCAAACAACGAAGAAAGGATTACATGTAACGTAAAAATGTGGAGCGATTCGAAATAAAAAAAAAAGCTGTATGTGGTCAACGCACGGTAAAACTACACGGTTCTGCGACACCACGCACGCAACACTGCACAACGACCGACAGGGAACGTTCAAAACGTGACACCCGTAGCTGTTATATTCATGAGCACAATGCCTCCAAACTATAAAATAGGAACCTTTATGATGAGTAGCGGGCCTGTAAACAATCCTCCATTGCGCGACCCAGCAAGGTATTGATGATGCGCATTTGTAAGAACATTAATGTTGCGCTTCCTGACATGAGACACCAAGGAAGCCTGCCAGTACGATGCAGCAGTGACTTCACTATCGATAATAAAACCTAAAGACAAGGAAGGAAAAAAATCGCCCGCAACTAACAACGGAAGGATCGAAAACAAGGTCACCGTTTTGGGCACGAGCGCACTAGCGATAGCAAATTCAACCAGACCGCAAACGCGCAATTTCCAGTTGCCCGGATGGAACCATCCGATATATTAAATATCGCTTAGCGCGAAAAAAAAACGGAGAAAAAAATGATGCAGTGGACAAGCAAGGGATGCGCTAAAAGCATGAACAGACAGGTCCAGCAACAAATACTACTGGCCTTTCCACAGCTGATACAAGCAAGCAACCTGACGCCAGCAAGAAAGAGAGAGAGAAAAAAGAAAGAAAAGAACTCTCGACAGTACGGCGACGCTTTTTTCGACGAAAGAGCAACGGTTGCAACACGGAACATGACTGTAGCTTGGGGCGCTTTCCTCCTCGCCTCAACAAAGGAGGCCACGCTGCTGCTGCACGCCGACCGACCGGTCGACGTCCGCTCGATTAACTGCGAATGGCTTCACACTGAGCTCCAGGTATTTATGAACGCCGCTACGAACAACGCCTTTGACACCGCTCTCCGTCGCACTTCACCCACAGGAAACCACGGCGATACGCTGACGTAAGCTTACGCAGAGTTACGCCATCACACACACAAAAAAAAAAAAAAAACGCGACAGATAAGAGTAGTGTAAAGCACGTTCTGCGATTCCGTCCATGCCTGCACGGTAAATCTTTTAACCGAAAGGCAAGCCAACAAAGAGCAAGGACAACGCCTGAATTACGATGCCGTTACTTTCTGGTCCCATCTTCCGAACGAGAGGTCGGCTATTTTAACAGAGAGGAGGGCACGATGCCCTGCACCGGCAATATTAACGCCACTCTAGCTCTCTTGTACGGAATACAGCGCGGCTATCAGCCATATGGCCCTCCCCGAAACTGTCACGTCGAGCGTGGGCGTGTATTCATATGTCCCACGCAATACATATGCCCAAATCGCTTATGCCCGCAAGATAGAGGCAAACCATCCGTTCACGTATATAGCACCAAGCTGCAAGGGACGTCCAAATACACGGACACGCACAACATCACT